GGAGATAAGCAGTGAGCAAGACGGCAAGGCCCCAGTTCTCATGGAGTGCTCGGTTTAGTGAGAGATGGACAGAAAGACAAACATTAACGCATAAATGCTCTATAGATGCTTAAATGGGGTAATGGGTTAGAGAGGGAGTGAATGACTACTTCAGATTGGGTGGTCCAGAAAGGACACATTCACATTTAGGAGGTGACATTTTTAAGCTGGGCTCTGATTAGACCCAGCCCTGCAATGGAAGGAGAGCAGGTGTGAAGCTCCTAAGGAAGAAATGAACTTGGCATATTTGAAAAAGGGCAAAAAGACCTAGTGTGAAGTTGGTGGTAAGAGAAAACTGGAGAGGCATGTAGGTCTTTGTAAGCCCCAGTTGGGAATTGGAAGTGCTCTGTGACAGCTCTGGTCACAACTCCAGCGGCCCCTTTCTTAGCTCAGTCTTTAAACACTCAGTTTTGTGCTGGGGCCCCTACTCTTTATCTAAACATTCTTTAGGTCATCCTATCTGGGCCCCTGCCTTTAAAAACTATATGTCAGTTGTTCATAACTCTGCATCTCCAACACTGACATTATCCCTTCCCTAGCTCCAGAGTCTCGTACCCATTTGCCTGCTCAACCCCTCCACTGGACTTCTGATGGGCATCTCAAACCTAACGTGGTTGAACACTTGCCCTGTCGCTTAAGCAACAATCTAGGATTTATTCTTGGTTTCTCCATTTCTGTCACCCCCCTCCCCCAACCCAACCCATTAGCAAGTCCCATCAACTCTCTGCAAAACAGATTCTGAACCCGGCCGCTTCCCTCCCTGTCCACTCCTACCACTTGATCTGGGCAGCAGGAGCATTGCCCTGGACCCCCGCAGTGAACTCTTACTTGTCCTTGCTTCCACCCCCGCCCTTCCATAGTCACTGACCCAGCAGCCGAAGAGATCTTTTAAAAACATAAATCAGATAATGTTGCTTCCCTGCTTAACGTTCACTACTGACTTCCCATTTCAGTTAGGAAAAAATAATCCAAACTCAACAGGAAATCTCATCGAGTTTTCATAGTGGATTAACAGAGAAATGACAAAAATCAGCTTTGAAAACAAGGCTTGAATCTTTTTGTTGTTGTTGTTGCTAATTCTCACCCAAGGATATTTTTCCCATTGATTTTACAGAGAGAGTGGAAGGGAAGGGGGGAGACAGTGAGAGAGCCGCAGCGATTGCCTCCTGCATGTGCCCCCACTGGGACCGGGGATCGAGCCTGCAACTGAGGTACATGCCCTTGGCCGGAATCGAACCCCCGACCCTTCAGTCTGCAGGCCGACGCTCTAACCACTGAGCCAAACCGGCCAGGGAATGAGAACCTTTTTGTTTTTATCTTTTAAAAAAATATATCTTTATTGATTTCAGAGAGAGGAAAGGAGAGTGAGAGAGAGAGAAACATCAATGATGAGAGTCATTGATCGGCTGCCTCTTGCATGCCCCCCACTGGGGATCGAGCCCACAACCCGGGCATGTGCCCCGACCGGGAACCGAACCCCGATCGCCTGGATCCTAGGTCGACACTTAACCCCTGAGCCATACCCGGTGGGGCTGTGAAACATTTTAAAATTTAAATAATAATTAACAATACAGCAGGAGCCCTGGCCGGTGTGCTCAGTGCGTAGAGCATCAGCCCACTCACTGAAGGGTCTCCGATTCGATTCCCAGTCAAGGGCACGCACCTCGGTTGCAGGTTCAATCCCCGGCCCCAACTGGGGCACACTCAGAGGCAAACAATGTATCTGTTTCACATCAATGTTTCTTTCTCTCTCTCTCCCCCTACCTCCCTCTCTTCCAGTCTCTCTAAAAATCAATGGAAAAAATATCCTCAGGTGAGGATTAACAAAAACAAAACAAAACTAAACAATACTACGGAAGAGGAGCACGCTTGCTGGAATATCGAGAATAGAAACCCTTCCTAAAGGCAGCTCACCAAGACGAGGGGCAGCTGCCAGTCATCAGTATGCTTGCACAGTTGGCTTCTCTTATTTTGACCCATTTTACTCACTTATCTACCTGCCCCTAGAACTATTTGAACTTGGGACCCCAATTCTAACCTCTGCTTCTCAACCCATTTACTGGAATCGAATGTCTTTCTCGACGATGTTTCCTGTCACTCAGCACTCCGCTGCTGAGGGCTGAGGTATCTGGGTGAGCTGTTGAACGGGATCCCAGACCATCATTTGGCAGAGGCTTGTAGCGTCACGACTTTCTTCCATCGGCCTCCGGAAAACTTGGCTGGGAGCCTCTGAGTCTGGATTTAGCTGCAGGCTACATGTTTTAGGTATATTAATTCATATTGCAGCTAAAGGCTTATAAATCCTTTAAAAACAGTCACCTTTGACTCCTTCCTGGCTCCCCATATCCAATCAGGAGCCAATTCTTGGTTCGGTATCATCTTCAGGCCTAACTGCCACCTACCTGGATTCTTGTAGTAGCTTCTTAACTGGTCTAACTTTAGTCACTGCTCTAACCAACACATTGGAGCACAGCTGTCTTTCTGAGTTAGATTTAATTATATCATGCACTACAACTACCCAAATAGAAATCATCAATAGGTATACTTAGAATGAATATACATAGAATCAAATTCAGATTTAGCTTAACATGCAGCACCTACCCAAATCCTTCTTCGGCCCGTTTCCCATCTTTTCTCNTATTGCAGCTAAAGGCTTATAAATCCTTTAAAAACAATGACCTTTGACTCCTTCCTGGCTCCCCATATCCAATCAAGAGCCAATTCTTCTTGGTTCGGTATCATCTTCAGGCCTTACTGCCACCTACCTGGATTCTTGTGGTAGCTTCTTAACCGGTCTAACTTTAGTCACTGCTCTAACCAACACATTGGAGCACAGCTATCTTTCTGAGTTAGATTTAATTATATCATGCACCACAACTACCCAAATAGAAATCATCAATAGATATACTTAGAATGAATATACATAGAATCAAATTCAGATTTAGCTTAGCATGCAGCACCTACCCAAATCCTTCTTCGGCCCGTTTCCCATCTTTTCTCCCACTGTACCAAGCACACGCGGTAACACCAGTCTCTGTTCCTGTGCTCTCTCCCCTCCAAGCCATTGCTCAGGTTTTTAAAGACCTATCCATTGTTTGTCTCCTCAGATTCCAGCTCTCCGTGACACCTTTCCAGATCCTTCCAGATTAAATTAATCTTTCCTTCCTCTGTTCTCTTGGGATGTTCTCCTCAGAGTCTGTCTTCAGCTATAGTTACTTGTGTTTTTCTAATGCCCTAGATTTGAGCCTATGGTGGGCAGGTGCCTTTAATCTTTTTATTTCCTCCACTCAGCAGAAAGTTTAGTTCAAGTTGAGTTGAAACAAGTAGAAAATTCATTTCTTTAAAGGACTTGACAACTTGTCCTTAAAGATCTGGGGCTCAATGTGATCGTCAAAGGAGAATTCTAAGCCCCTCCCCCAGATAAAACTAGTTTGCTCGTTTTCAAGGAATAGTTTATACGTGTGAAGTTTAAAAAAATACTCATCAGGAAGTATACTATATTACCTATACTAATGCTAACAATCAGGAAACAATTAGACAAATTCAGAACGTGGGAAGTTCTATAAGACAATGGGCTTGGACTGTAAAAAAGTGCTGATGTTATAAAAAGCCAATCAACCAACCAAAATGACAAGAAGAGTGCTCTGTATTTTTAAAAATACACAACCAGAAACAATACATGAACAAACATGCATTGGATCCTTGATCAGAAAACAAAAAATCATAAAAGATATTTTGGGGACAGTGGTGGAAATTATATATAAGCTATTTGTATTCAATTAACATTGCATTTTGGGCATGATCATAATAACAATAGTGTGGTTATGTGCGGGGATGTCCTCATTTGTGAGGCTACATATACAGAATTATTTCTGAGCAAAATGTCAGGATGTCAGCAACTTATTTTCAAGTGGCTCAGTCAAGAAAGTATATTTATATATCAAGAAAGAAAAAGCAAAAATGGGAAAATATTAGTAATTGGTAAATCTAGGTGAAGAGTATATAGGTATTTCTTGCTACTATCCTTTCAGCTTTCTATAGGCTAAAAGGGTTTTCAAAATAAAAAGTTGGGGAAAAAGAGGAAAGGGGCTGAAAGGACTGGTTTAATTTCCTAGTTGTGTTTTTTTAGGCTTTCATTAAATAAATGAATAGCTAAGCAGTGAAAACCAAACATTTATTGGGTGTGGCTTTACATTTAGGAATGAAACCAGCTGATAGTGAAACATAAACTCGGTTGTAAGAATTACTAAATCAGAAATGCAATTTTATTGCTCATTAGAAGGACTTCTTTTACTTTATGGTTTATACTCTTCATAGAAAATAAACTCCAAAGGACATAAACCGGGTGTGTATCGAGGAATATAAGTTTTCATTGCGAGTAAATTTGAAAATATTAAACAAACTCTAATTTTTCATCGTTACAGGTCTGTTTAAATTATCTGCTATTCTAGGTACCTGTCAATGTAATTATGTTGATTTGTCCCTTTCTCTAGGTGGAAAAAAACCCAACCCTGTGTCTTTGCTTGGTTGTGACTAAATCGATCTGGTTGATAAGAGGGGAAGATCTGAATATATTGATGTAAAAGAACAAATAGGAGATAAGACTACGCATTTATTGCCCATTTATGTAATTACATGTGTCACTAAGGACAAAGGTCCTTAAAACAAAGACAAGAGGCAGAGTAGAAACACTTCCCTGCAGTAAGAGATGGATTCGCTACCACTTCCCTCTTAATGAATTTTTCCCCCCTGCGTGGTTGAATATCCTTCTGGTTTTATAATCATTTTGAGAACTTAACCATCCTTCTGGGCACAATTCGATGGCTGAAGATACGCTTCACTCCAACAAAAAGAAAATGAAGGTTTTTGGAGAGCACTCCTAGGCTTCAGGTGGCGGGCCCGCTGGGACTCCTGACGCCTGAGAGCCCTCCCGGAGGAAGTGTTGCCGCGACGGCAGCCCCATGGATGTGGTGGGGGAAAACGAGGCCCTGCAGCAGTTTTTCGAAGGTAAGAGGCCGTTTCCCACACGGAGCCCCTGCTCCTGAGAAAGGGCACAGCTCCCTGTCACTGTTTCACCCTCCTGCAATTCACTGAAGCTTGGCCTTGGAAGAAATGCTGTCGCATTAACTGTCCTAAAATTGGAGTCAAGGTTTATTTGCTGTGTTTGTTGCAAAAATCAATGGTATAGGTAGTGATTTAAAAAAAAAAAAAAAAAAGACAGA